AGATTGAAACAAGCCTGAATCTAGAATTCTTATGTAGACTGTTGCTGTTCCGCTAGTGACTTTTTAGAGTAGAAACTAGGTTTTCTGCCTAAGTGCAAAAGAAATGACCTGGTGGTACTCAGTAAATTACCAGCTAACTCACTCAGTGAATCCTTTTTCTGCAGGAGTGACATATGGCAAAGTGTAAATTCACTGCACCTGACTACTAAGGTGGAGAAAGTGTATTTTCCATCTACTGTTCCTCCATCCAGTGCTTGTGAGTTGCTTCCTCTTTTTTTTGAGAAAATGTATTTGAACCAGTCATTAATAATTAAAAACAATCTAGGTTGGTCATTTTTACCTATTACTCAAAAAGGTGAATGCTGTTTTTCTCAAAATAAGTTAGGTTTTTCTTCCATTTCTTCTTCTTTGGCTTCTTTCTACTCTGTCCTGTTTCCTTAGGAAACATGATCTGCATAGTGTCGCGCAACGTTGTCCATTCTCTGATCACCAAGTAACACTTCCCTGAAATCACTTTAGCTTCCACATCTGTCTGAAGGAAAGAATGATGCCTGTCAGCTGCAGCCTTTTGCAGCAAGATAGTGGGTCCTTGTGTGCAAGAGGGCGTTAAAAGTTGACTGACTGTGTCTTGGGTGGTGTCCTTTCTAAAAGCAGAGGTTTTTTGGCTCCTTGCAAACTTAGTTTCACGCATGTGTGAGCTACCATAGTGGCTTAGTGACACAGGTTCGTTTCCTGGCTGTTTAGGGAGTTAATTAGGCTCATGATATGCTCTGAAAAAGTGTTCAAGTCAATGCGAGGTGTAGGTTACAGGAATCCAGTAGTAGAAAAAAGGAGCAGATGGAGAGATGGGAGGTGGCAGCAAGGCCTCACTTTTGGTGACGGTGAAGTCATCATGTTTTGTGAAATCATATCTTCAGCTGCAATTCAGCATATTTTTAGCTTTTTCTTCAGTAAGCTCATAACATTGTTGGCTTTTGATTTTCATGTACTACTGTCAACCAAAACTGACATTCCAGAACTCTTGACGTGGCTTTATGTGATACTGCTTGAACATGTTAATTTCTTTTTTTTTTTTTTTTTTTTTTTTCTCTGCCTGCAAAATAGGAGGACATGTTTCTTTCCTTGCAAATAGTTAATGTTGTTTGAAAGTCCTAAGTACCTAGGGTGAAGAAGAGTGGTGTTCTTGGCAACTTGTAGACAGATCCTTTTCGTACAGCATGTGGCTGGGGGGTTGAATTCTGTTTTACTCCTGAACATGGTGTAAGCCTGTGGCATTTTACACTAATCTTGTTTCTAACAGACAGAAATAGGGATGTGATTGTAGTCCTTGTTTTCAAAGACAGCAGAAATGCCTTTAGTGTTGGATGTGTCTCTTAAAGGAGAGGCTTCATGCCTTTGATTCTGTAACTATTTTCTTACTCTTGATTTCCCAGCAGAAGAATGCGAGCAAAACATCTTAATAACCAGATCACTATATCTACTGTTCATAATTTATTATGGATTTTTATCTTCCTAGTTTCATATTGTAAAGATAGATGTCTAGAAAAAAAAAAGTGTTTAAAATGTCCATTTGCTTACTAGAGGAATCCTGGGCACACTTACTGCTATAGTGTTTTTACATACTTCTATATGCAGTTAGTAACTGCAGCATGTTTGAAGTTACATGAGTGCCCCAGGTGTTGGAATGTAACTTATATGATGGTTCTTAATGATAGTGTTGGGCTGGTAAGCACATTTGATGTGTACTGTGAAAATGACTACATTTGGGTTAAGGTGTGAGCTTTCTGCCAGAGAAGAATTCATTTTGATTTGGTGGGGAGTTTGGGGTGGTGAGTGGTTTGGTTTTAAACTCAAATCTCCCCAATAGAGTGTCTTAAAATTTTGTTTCCACGTTGGCCACACAAAGGTCTGCGCTCTTGACCTGTCCAGGTACCTAGGCATTGGCAAAGAGAGGGTGACTCAGGATGACTGACTCATGGAGAACAGGCAGTTGAGAAGTTTTCTTTGAATGCTGTTTAATGCCCTACTGGAAAATATTACTTTGCTCTTAAAGCTATCTTGCTACTAAAATGATATATTGTATTACTAACTATGAAATTAGAAGAAGGCATCTCTTATTTTTATTCACTACAATCATATATGCTTTTTTTGACGTCATGTAGTGTTTTCTGAAATTCCTTAATGTATGTTGTCATAGTCAGTGTTCTCCCTTAAAGGGATCTAACTGAATATTTAAAAATAGGCTACTTGCATGTGGAGGGAGGGGAGTTGATTTTCAGTGTTTTCATTAGTGATGTGGATGATGGGGCAGAGTGTACCCTCAGCAAGCTGGCAGATGATACAAAACTGGGAATGGTGGTGATACACTCAAGGGTCACACTGCTATCCAGAAGGATTTTTCACAGGCTAGAGAAAGGGGTTAACAGGCTCCTCATGCAGTTCAACAAGGGGAATTGCAAAGGTAAAAGCAGCTGGGCAGAAAAGTCCTGGGCATCCTGGCAGATACCAGGTTGACTGTGAACCAGCAATGTGGCAGCTGACAGTATCCTGGGCTGCACGAGGAAAAACATGGTCATCAGGTAGAGGGAGGTGATCCTTCCTTTTAGAGCAGTGGTGAGGACACACTTGAAGTTCAGTGGCCACGTCTAGGCTCCCCAGTCTCTCAAGAGGCATATGGAGGTACTGGAGAGCCCAGCAAAGGGCCACAAAGATGATTAGAGGGAACTGGACCCCCCTTGTAGGAAGAAAAAGGATGGGAGAGCTGGAACTGTTCAGCCTGCAGAAGAGAAGATTCAGAGGAGATCTCATCAATGCATATAAATACCCGAAGGGAGGCTGTAAAGAAGATGGGGCCTGAGTTGGTCAGCATGTGTAACACTTGGGAATAGTGAACTGTGTATAATATCTTCCCTTTGAGAGTTCATGAAGAAAGCAGTGTTATTTTAAGAAGATAACAAAATCCATCTTATCTTTTGGAGGCTTTTCCAATAACCCACAGAACTTGCAAAACAGAATTAAAGTGTTTTATATTTCTACATTATTGGAATAGGTCTTGTTTAGCTACCTGTTTAATCTTGCAAATTACTTCAGCTTTAAAGTTTTTCCACAAAAGAATCTATCTTGACATACTGAAATGTGAACTCTTTGTGGAGCGCCTACAGAAGCACAGAAACTGTCTGAAAGGCTTAGAATTTTGGGTAAAATACCGCAGAGATAAGATAAGGACAGGCAATAGGAAGGAAGGAGCTGAAATAAGGAATATGAGGAAAGAAAAAAATTAATGTTTCAAAGTCCTGTGTTACATTTACATCATAAGTGTATGGAAAACTACTATCTAATTGATAAGCTATAAAAGTCTGTATTGCTTGTAAAGTGACATCAGTTACACATTTTCTGGAAGATTCTGAGAACTAATCTCTGACTAGGATATGAGGTTAGAAGGGACCTGAAGGATCATCTGGTTCAACCTTTCTTGCTAAAAACATGGTTTAGACAAGACAGCCCACCATCTCTCCTAGCTGAATCTTAAAAGCATCCAATGTTGGGGAATCAACCACTACCTGGGAAGATTATTCCAATGACTGACTGTTCTTGTGAAACATTTTCTGTTGTGTGCAATCGGAATCTCCCTTGGAGAAACATTACCCCTGTCTTTTTCATATGACTCTTTGTAAAAAGGGAGTCTCAGTGTTCTTTGTAGCTGCCCTTCAAGTGCTGGAACATGGTGATAAGGTCTCCCCTAAACCTTCTTTACTCCAGGCTGAGCAGACCCAGATCTTCCAGCCTTTCCTCGTAAGTCAGGCTTCCTGGTCCTTTGATCATCTTTGTGGCCCTTCTCTGGACCCTCTCCAGCCTGTCCATATCTTTTTTTGTATAGCAGGGACCAGAACTGAACACAGTGTTCCAGGTGTGGAAGTGCTGAGTTGAGTGGAATTATTACTTGTTTGATGCCTTTGTTGATGCAGACCAGCGTCCTATTGGCTTTCATTGCTACTGCAACCCACTGTTCACTCCTTTTGAGCTTGTTGTGCACCAAGAACCCCAGGTCCCTTTCCACAAAGTGGCTCCCCAGCTGTGTAGACCCCAGTCTGTGCTGCACTCCTGGATTATGTTTTCCCAAGGTGCAAAACCTTACACTGGTCCTTGCTGAACTTCATAGGGTTCTTGTTAGCCCACTCTTCCATCTTGTCCAGGTCTTTCCTCATGGTGGCTCTCCCTTCTGTATTGTGTACTTCCCCAGTCTTGTAGTTTGGTGTCACCTGCAAACTTATCAGGGTACACTTGATCCCAACATCCAGATCACTTATGAAGATAGTAAAACAGAATTGGGCCAAATATCAATCCTTGGGGGACCCCACTTGTGGCATGTTACAGCTGGAAAAGGAGCTATTTACTACCACCCTCTGGGTGTGACCTGTCAGCCAGTTCCCCACCCACCACACAGATCACTTACCTAGACTGTAATGGATCAGTTCCTCTAGAAGGCTGTGGGGAATGCTGTTGGTAAAGAACTTGGTATTCCTTTATGTTTAAACATGCAAAAGTGAACAAGACATAAATGAGGCATGAAATCTACCAGAAGACAATTGGCAATAAGTAATAAAGGATATAATTAAGGGACAAATGTAACGGACAAACGTAAACTTACACCTCTTACTGAGAAGCTTTTTAAAACATGATTTTTCTGAGATCATATCTTACTTGCCTATGTGTGTAGACTTGAGCTCAGTGTATTTTTCTCTTTGCTGTTATTTCTACTGTCGGTACCTCTGTGTCACTTTCTGTTGATGATCTCACAGGCATGAGAACAGTAGAGATTTCTCCTTTTGCCCTGCTGTGAGATCAAAAGCTGTCCTGAGTGCCATTTCTTTAAGGAAAGGAGCTACTGGCAATTTTTAGGACATGTTTCACTCCATTTTGATGTAACTTGTCAATCTCAAAAATATTTATGGCTGACATGAGTCTATTTTTGGGTTTTTTTGCTTTCTTTACAGTGAAGAATGCGAGAGCTAACAGCCCAAGTAACGAGCAGTCTGCTGCAGTTTCCAGAGGTGACTGTTCAGGCACTTGGTGAAGATGAGATAACCCTAGATTCTGTGCTGTGTGGGAAGTTTTCTGGAGGTGAGCATTTTCCTTTAAATTTGGTGTTGGTACAAAATGATGATTGCCTTGAAGCATAGGGCCATAGTATCAACTGTGTCAGGTTTGCACTATTAAGATGCATCAGGTTTCAAGATAAGAAACAGGATGTTTTAACTAATAAAAATGTGAACATTGAAACATTAGTATAGGTATACTCTGAAATTACAAGAGCCTGCACCAATCTTGTGCTATTAAAATAATTTAAACATGCTGACTTGGTGAGCTCTCCTCAATTTTTAATAAAAGACAGTTTTAAAAAATGTAGTAGTGTTGTTTTGTACCATATTTATTTTTGTATGCTCAAGCTCCATCATAACATCATGTACAGAAATAATTTTTCTACTGTTCTGCAGAGGCAACCCTCCCTGCTTTTTCTTTTCTAGTCTGAATAGAAAGCGAAGAAAGAGGCTAAGACAGTTGAGCACTGCAGTCATGTTTCACAAGTATTTGATAGGTTGCAGATAAGTACTTAGTGAGAGTGGTTGAAAGTGGCTAAGCAGATGATGTAGTTGACTTTCTAGGTGATCTGAGGGCAGGTCTGGTTGTCTAGGCTTCTGTTAAGACCAGGTAGAGTCTGTCTACCTGACTGGAAATGCAGTAACTGAGTTAATACTTCATTTGAGCTTGAAGAAGTTCAGTGCAATGAAGTGTGTGAAATTCCTTCTGTGCTCATCATGTGTAGAACTCTAAATTTACTCATGTAGTGCCCATTTTAAGAGAATTTCTTGCTGAAGTCTAAATCTCTGCCCAAAGCAGGCAAGTAAAATTAATCAACTAGAAACGAATTGGTTTAGATTTTTTGTATTTGAAGTATGCTTTAAGAGTTGTGTTCCTGTATGTGTTTAGATGATTTCTGGCAAAGCCAAGCCAAATATGGTATAAAGACTGTAGCTCAATATTTCATAATCTTTATCCCAAATGATCAAGATTCTTCAGTGCAGGAATGGCAAGTACATATGCAAGATAATAAGGTTGTTAGGTTTAAGATGTATTGCTTGAGGATTTCAGTGGGTGGTTTTAAAGAATTAACCAGAATTAGGGAAGTTGGTTGTCCTTGTGTTAGGTACTTTTATGAAAAGAAAGAGGCAGTGACTGATTTTTCAGCTTTTTCAGTCTTCTATTGGAAATTTGCTTTAGTCAGTTTTCTTTTCTCTTACAGGGAGAAATGGCCTAGCGTGGCTGGCGTGTGGTCCTCAACTCGAGGTGGTGAACTCAGTGACAGGAGAGCGGCTCTCTGCGTACCGTTTCAGTGGACTAAATGAACAGCATCCCACTGTTCGTGTGGTAAAGGAGTTTTCCTGGCAGAAGAGAACTGGACTGCTGGTTGGATTGGAAGAAGCAGAAGGAAGTGTTCTCTGTCTATATGACCTTGGAATATCACGAGTGGTTAAAGCAGTTGTTCTTCCGGGACGGGTATGTGCTTTTTAATTGGAGAAACAGAGCTTTTATATTGTTTCAGTGCTGTATAATCCAGTTGCAGAGGGAAAAAGAAAAAAACAACACTCTTTGAAGTGTCTGTAACATATGTTGCCTAAATGCTTAATGTCTTTCAGAAATAATGTCTTTAAAATATCTCAGACTTCTATAGTTGTACTGTAAATGACTGAGACACATTCCTATGAATCTCAGACTAACAAGCAGGTGACTTGAGAGTGGAAAATGCAGATCTGTTCTTAGCATCACTCTCTGTGTTTTTTGTTGTTACTTTTTTAAGCACTGATATTTCTGGACTGTTTTCTGTGTGGATATATCTTCTGTGGAGAACTAAGTTGTACAGGTTCACACTAACTTAGAGTAACTCTGGTCCAAGGTGCCAAGCCATTAGTGTATTAATACAGAGTATTTATGATGACTGCCTTTTAGTCTTAAGAGTAGTAGTAGTTGTTCAGAACATAAAGGAATGAGTTAGAAGAAACAACTCACAAAAAAATTGGCATAGTGTTGTATTTTTTTTTGTGGGAGCATCGTCTCTCATTGCCCTCTGGATATACACGTGAAATGCAGCAGAAAGCTGAAAATGTTACTGGTGTATTATTATTATTTGAATTGGATTCTAGTAAAAGCAAATCTGAATTTAAAACATTAATTATATTAAATTGGTTTGTAATAGTTGTATGTTTCAGAACTATTGAATAGTGTTTTCACAAATTTTCCTGGTTTGCATGAGGCAGAAGGGTAGCATTCAGATTCAGTGAGGTGGGAAAAGTTTGCTTTGTTCATTCCCAGAATGAGCTGGCAACAGTCTAGCAGAATATGAAAACCCAGTGCATGGCGCAGTGGGAAAATATGTGGTTTCAGGAGCTTCTACATGGGAGACTGAAGTGTTAAAATCGGGAGACTTTTTTGGAAGACTGTATGGAGAAACAGATAAGATTAATTTGGAACCAGTTGTACAACACCAAAAAAAGTCTTAGAAGTTAGAAGCAATGCTAATTCTGCAGCAAGATAAATGCAGTATTTCTGCTTTCTTTGTAACAGTCATCAAGACTTGAAGCAGCAAGGATCGAATAATCAAAATGCTTTTGAGTCCTTTGAGTAGCAGAGAAGATTTGAAGTAGGATTCTATTTATAGGAAATCTGAAGAAAAATGAAATTGTTTAAATTGTGATAGGTACTTCTAAGCTTAGAATTCTTGTAAATATTAACTTCTGGTTTTCCTGTAGGTAACTGCTATAGAACCCATAACTAGTTATGGAGGAGCTACTGTGAGCACTCGGCACCTACATCAGAGTCTGCGATGGCTCTTTGGAGTGGCGGCAGTGGCTACAGATGTTGGTCTTCTGCTTCTGGTTGACCTTTGTTTGGATGATTTATCTTGCTGTCAGAATGAAATCGAAGCATCAGGTAAGTTTGCATTTTTCAAACTAGAATTGAAAAGTAAGAAAACCTGTGTATTTTAAATATGCATCCCACTTTGAAGATACTAGTGTCCAGATGTTTATGACTACTTATTACAGATAGTGGTTTGACTGCATATAGTCCTGACATGATTAAAAATGGGAGTGGCTTAATTCTGCTAAGGTTATAAATTCCCACCTCCATCCAAGATCCTTACGTCACTGTGATTCTTGCCACTGAGGTGTAGGGATTTTACCATCTGAGCTGGTGCAGATTTCTGACAGGAAGTTGTCAGAGGGGCCCTATTTCTGGAGAATGTTGCTCTAGTTCTGTTAATTCACTTGGGGCAAATTTTAGGCTTGTATTTTGACATAAACGTGACTTACCAAAAAACATCCGTTTGGATGAATGAAATCTGTGCATTCAGATTTCATACATTGTTTTGGCTATTACAATAGTGGCTTCAGAAGCTGATGTCACTTCAAAATAGCTTCGTCATAAGGCCCAGACTCCTGATTTACAGAGTCCAAGAAGAATTAGTCTATGTTGGTTTCACTTTTACCTGGTTTTGAGTGAGAATGCCTATCCCAAGTAAGAGTTCTTATGCTCTTTGAATACATGCAAAATGGATAAAGGAAAAAAGGTGTGTATTGCATAAATACGTATTTTGCTTTGGACAGTAGAATTAGGTTATTTCTGTGTTGTCACATCAGAGTGTAAAATACAACCTAAATGACATAACACATTTATTCATTGTGTGGTTTTCTGTGTGTAGATCTGGAAGTTGTCACTAGAATTCCT